ATTTTAATATGTGTGGTATTATTGTAAATTATTAAAAGATTAAGAATTGCACATTATAATACAAATAAATGCACAATATTGTGGGTTAAAATGCACAATAAAAATTACATACTAATTTTAATAAAATATAGAATTTGCACTGTTTAGCTTTCGGTGGTTGTTTTGACCGTTTAAATAATAATGTTAACATATAATCGAAATATTCAAAGTTTAAAAATTAAAAAAATAGATAATTAAAACTATTGTGCAATATGTTAGTCAATAATGTGCAACTCGTCTAACATTGTAGTGCACTCGAACTGCATACATTTTTAATGATTTGTTCTGAACCGAATTAATACTGAACCAAATAATCATTTTGTTCGATTGACTAATCGTATCTCTCATTGATCAAAACGATTTGCTATTTATATTATGAAAATATTTATAATACTCTAATATTTATATTTAATATGTTATATTACTTTTTAATTGAAAAGATATAATATATAAAATAATATATAATATATTAAAATCAATATTGTGCATTCCAACATATTACAATTTGCATTTTTATATAAGATTGTTGTGCACTCTATTGATTGTGTGTTTTTATGTGCATTTCAGTTATAGAAACTTTAATAGATTGTATTTAAACTAACATTATTTTGTATATCACATATTTATAAAAAAAATAAAAATTATTCGTATTATTTAATAAAATATTTTTTTAATGTTTTCATTTATTATATTAATATATATGATAAAAATAATATTTTTAATAGATTTTTTAAATAATAATAATGCATTCTGACAGTCATTAATGTGCAACTCCTCTAATCGTATTGTGCAATATTTTAGATGATATTGTGCATTATGCATCCATCGAAATTTTTTTCTCAGAATTGATATAACATTAAATCGAATTAATTTGTTTATTCGGTTTGTAAATAGAATTAACTAAAACAACTGAAATAAAATATTATTTACAACTTAAAACATATTTTTCGTCTAAAAAATCATATTAAACGTATAGTCGGTTGGCGTTGATATTTTTGACAAAAAATGGTCGGTATATACACAATATTGCTAATCGTTTGGCGTCGATATTTTGATAAAGTTTGTTTTTTTATTTAATGCTTTATATTATTTTGATTTTTTGAGGTAGAAAAAAGTTTGTTTGTTTTTTTTTTTTCAAATAACAAAAACAACTAATCGAATTGAAATATAATTAATTGATCCATAATTTCGAGTTTAGTCATTGTTGTGCAGTCTGACAAATATTAGGGTGCAATCTGCTTAACCATATTGTGCACAGTTTCAGTGGTATTGTGCAGCATGAAACTGTCGAACTTTTTGTGTCAAACTAAATTAAAATTAAACTGAAATAAATAAAATATCTAAATAAAATTTTGTTCATATTATTAAAAAAATATATTTAGTATTCTTAATATTTTATTATATTTTATGTATATATTGTTGAAATTAATAATACTTTTACATAAAATTATAAATCCGACATCGAACCTAAATGATTTAATTGAAAGTAATATAAGATAATTGAATCGAAGCATATAAATTTGAACCAGTATTTGTAGTCTTTGCAATGCGGGTATTTTTTTTGTACATTTCCAAACGTGGTTTTGTGCAAATCAATTAATTAACAGTATGATTACCAAAGTTTAGAAAAATTAAAAAACTAACCACATGAACTAAATTTAAAGTTTTTAGAATTTAAGAAATTGTGATTGGGCCCCTAAGAATTGTCAAATTCTCAACTAAACACCCAACTACAATTCACATTCTCAGATCTGCAATTCATATTCTCAAATCTAAAATTCAGAATCGAAATTCACGATTGGCCTTACCAGCCACCGAAATTCACGACGCGGATGCTGACGGCGAGTCCATCCACCAGAGTGTGATAAGAGGAAGTCGAAGTGTCAGATGTCGAGTTCGATTTTTGACTGGCGGCGAGTGGTGTCGGTTCTTCGATTTCAGGAATTTTTGATCGATTAGGCTTTCGCCCGATCGATTAGAGCCGTACTCGATCTTCTTTGAGCTCGTCGGGATTGACATCAAGTCACGGCGGAAGGGCTGTTGGTTTCAGTGCTTCTATACAAGATGAAGATGGCAGTCATCGTGCTCGACGGCGGAGGAGGGCGGTTGTAGCGTCTGAGGATGGAGGTGGCTGATACTGGTATGGAGGGCTACCGACGGCGAACGAAGAGCGACGGTGATCGGTTTCCAGCGTGACT